GTTAGCTCATCAGTTCATTCCTGTTAGCTGTTAGCTCATCGGTTTATTCCTGTTAGCTGTTAGCTCATCAGTTCATTCCTGTTAGCTGTTAGCTCATCGGTTTATTCCTGTTAGCTGTTAGCTCATCAGTTCATTCCTGTTAGCTGTTAGCTCATCGGTTTATTCCTGTTAGCTGTTAGCTCATCAGTTCATTCCTGTTAGCTGTTAGCTCATCGGTTTATTCCTGTTAGCTGTTAGCTTATCAGTTCATTTGTGTTAGCCATTAGCTTGTCAGAATTTGCTCAAGGATTTATATCATGATGATGATTTTTGATGATTGAATGATTTTTCTACAAAATTCCACTTTAAAAAATATTCAAACTTTTACTTTAATGTACCGTATTTACTATCTAGAGAAAAATACTAATACTGCATGAATTCCTTTTTAGCCAATCAGAATAATCCATCTGCCTGAGAAATGCCCATATCCTTTGATTCATCCTTCTTCATCAGGAGATGAAATATAAAGAAGTTAAATTTATCGTGAGTAAACTGACACCTTAAAATAGAAAAAGACTTTATTAAAGGAAATTATTATTTTACGCATCAGGCTGAGACTTTAGAGGCGTTCAGTCTGAGGTCCAACCTAAAGTCCAGCTTGAGATCCTACCTGAAGTCCAATGTGAGGAGCAACTTAAAGTGCAAGAGGGGGGTCCAACCTAAAGTCTGATGTGAGGACCAACCTACAGTCCAATCTGAGGACTAACCTAACGTCCAACCTGAGGATGAATCTGAGGTCCAACATAGTGTCCAATCTGAGGTCCAACATAGTGTCCAATCTGAGGTCCAACCTACAGTCCAAAGTGAGGACTAAACTAAAGTCCAACCTAAAGTCCAATCTGAGGTCCAGTCTAAAATCCAACCAGAAGTCCAACCTGAGGATGAATCTGAGGTCCAACGTAATGTCCAATCTGAGGTCAAACCTAAAGTCCAACCTGAGGACCAACCAGAGAACCAATCTGAGGTCCAACCTAAAGTCCAACCTAAAGTCTATTCTGAGGTCCAACCTAAAGTCCAACCTGAGGATGAATCTGAGGTCCAACATAGTGTCCAATCTGAGGTCCAATCTAAAGTCCAACCTGAGGACTAACCTAANTAAAGTCCAACCTGAGGACTAACCTAAAGTCCAACCTGAAGTCTAATCTGGAGTCCAACCTAAAGTCCAACCTGAGGATGAATCTGAGGTCCAACGTAATGTCCAATCTGAGGTCCATCCAGAAGTCCAATCTGAGGACTAACCTAAAGTCCAACATGAAGTCTAATCTGAGGACTAACCTAAAGTCCAACCTGAAGTCTAATCTGAGGTCCAACCTAAAGTCCAACCTGAGGATGAATCTGAGGTCCAACGTAATGTCCAATCTGAGGTCCAACCAGAAGTCCAATCTGAGGACTAACCTAAAGTCCAATCTGAAGTCTAATCTGAGGTCCAACCTGAGGATGAATCTGAGGTCCAACATAATGTCCAATCTGAGGACCAACCTAAAGTCCAACCTGAAGTCTAATCTGAGGTCCAACCTAAAGTCCAACCTGAGGATGAATCTGAGGTTCAACGTAATGTCCGATCTGAGGTCCAACCTGAAGTCCAATCTGAGGACTAACCTAAAGTCCAACCTGAAGTCTAATCTGAGGTCCAACCTGAAGTCCAATCTGAGGACTAACCTAAAGT